ACAAAAAGGATCATGAGATGGAAACGCCGATGCCCTATTCTAGAAGATGCTTCCAATATTGTTACAGGGTCAACGCCGAATGCAAATTGCTTAGCCCGGTCACAATCTTCAACATCGGCTGATTGAGACCCATAGAGTGGCGAAGGACTCAGGAAAGAACAGTTGGAAGATGGAGACATTAAACTTGCAACTGAATTAATAGAGTCTTCAAACAGGAAACCTACTTGGTAGGACATTTCAATTTATAGTCCTACGACAAATCAATATTGGGCTTTCTGGGATTCACTCTATGTGCGAAACGGCGTCTTGTACCGGAAGTTCGAGTCAGATGATGGAAAGGCATTCTGATGGCAGCTGATAATTCCAAGATACCAGACTTTCTTAAAGAATCACATACCAGTCTAACAAGAGGCCATTTCGAAATAATGAAAATTTTGCATAGAGTTCGAGAATGCTTCTACTGGAGTAATGATAGGTCTGATATGCAATACTGCCAATCTTGTGATGCCTGTGCAGGTTGGAAAGGAACAAAGAAGCAGAGACAAGGGAATCTGCAACATTACAATGTAGGAGCGCTTTTTGAACATATTGCCTTTGACATCCTGGGACCTCTGCCACAAACTGTTGATGGTAACAAATACATCGTCATTGTCACTGATTACATTACCAAGTTGCTTGAACCTGATCAAAAGGCTGTCAAAGGTAAATGACAACAGAATTGGATTTCTAGGTTCAGTTAAATTGCAATCAAGAAAGAAATTTTGCATTGGCTGTAATTAAAGGACTCTGCTAGCTACTCGGTATTGACAAAACGCAAACACCTTTATATCCCCAGTTAGACGGCATGGTAGACAGGTTTAATCGAACCATCCCCAGTTAGATGGTGTGGTAGACAGGTTTAATCAAACCGAAGTTAACTGCGTTCTTACTGTCCTGGAGCCACATGCCTGATGTTGTTCAATCGTGACCTTAGTCTGCCTTGTGATCTCTTTTCTGGTCGCCCTCCTACCTCCATTGCCTGAGGAGTACATCCATTATCTCCAGTCACGATTTGAAATGATGCATAATTTTGCAAGAGAGCGAGTCAACTTGGCGACAGAGAAGAAGACAAGACACCTACCGGAAATCAATTCAACAAAGGTGCGAAGGTGTGGTTGTGGAATCCGATTCGACGGAAATGACTCTCTCCTAAACTACAGTCACCTTGGGATGGTCTTTACGCAGTTCTAAGCAAGCTGAATGATGTCGTAGTTCGGATCCGAAGCTCTATGTGGTCCCCATAGTGTATATTAATGTAAATAGTACACCAAGACCATGGTCCCATTTGTTTCTAAATTTTGCACTCATTTATTGATGTAGTATTTCATTTGTTTTATATTATTTATTGAAATTTTTAAGTATTGCACTGCTGCATTGATTTGCCTTAGTTGTAAGTATGGCTTCCTGTCCACGGATTGTACTGCTCGGGATGTGCAGTCTTTCGGAGCGGGACAGAATTACAAATTTTGTACACAGGCAGATGATTTTAGTGCAATTATATGTGAAACTGCTGTATTTTTCTGTGTAATGTAGCATGAAAAATTTAGAGAGACAAACTATGCTGGAAAAATACGAATACAGGAGGAAGTCCATTTAACAATAAGTAAACGGGTATCTCGCCTTTCAGAAGGTATAGTGGTTTGGGAGCCAACTGCGGTACCGAAAGTCACGAATTCGAATTTCATTGGACTTGTTACCATCATCTAGAGAAGGCATAGATGTTTGTAAATGTATAGTTTTTGTAACATGGAGGCACTATAAATATATGGCGAGTCGAAATGTGTGTAAAAGGTTTGGTTTTCAAATTTTATCCTTACTACTATGCAAAGGCCTTTTGCTTCTATGTTAGTAATGTATTATAAATATTCTAAAGAAATGTATAAGGATTAATTTTGAAAAATTTGTTTAAATAGAAGACATACTAAAAATATAAGAAGGGACTAGATTCCAACTTTCCCTATGGCTGCTTTTTTATCCAAGTCCATAAGTAGTGTTTTTTTAACATACCACAGCATAGTAAAAATGAAATTTTACACAAAAGATATTGGTTTATCACAATTAATTAATTTTTAGAAATCCAACAACTGTTCCTTGGGTATATGGAAACTAATGAATGATCTCTCCACTAAATAATTTACAATTAAATCTCATGAAATTTAGCCTTGTGGTTTAACTTTGTGATCGATTTGACTGGTAACGGAAAACAATTACCTGACCTACAGTAATCTGACTTCTGATTAATAAATTTCTTGTACACATACAAACATTAAAATGTACTAATTTTTGGTTTGTCTTTTGATTTGCTTCACAAGACACATACTGCCAATTTCTCTTTTGCAATTCCATGATGAAAGTTAGTATTTATCAGAAAATTAAATTGTTATGCTTTAACAATGAATGAATTACTCATTTTATTTTATAAAACATTACGAAAAAATCCAACAGTAAGCAGACATAGTTTCAGGAAAAAATTTTACATCTGACAGCAAAGATTATCAAATGATTATCTTTAGAAAATGACTTGTTAGCTTGAAAGGAAATGTTGCATTTAAATTAATTTCAGACCAAAAAGCACTTTAGATGCAAAATAACATCTAACTGACTGACTGAAAGAAAAATAAGCAATTGCATTTTTACATAAACTGCATAACCAGAAACTTACTTCCTAGCAGCTTTATGCAATATATTGTTAACTTATTTGAAGACAAAGCTATGGCAGTAAAGTTAAAATACAGGAGCACACGCATTTAATAAATTGATATCTTGCAATTGTACTCTTTTATTTTCCAGAAAACTCGAGAAATTACCAGAAGCTTCTCATGCACATTTAAAAAGCTTATAAAAGCTGGAGGAAAACATCTCAATTCAGTTGTTGTTTGGATAACTGTTGTTTACTGTAGCGAATTCACGGTGAAATTAAATTAGCTTTCTCTGTTTTGAATTAAGTTCTGTTGGAAGTTTTAGTTGTTTAAAAGATAACTACTGTGAGATACTGCAATATTGTACGAATATCTCTAAGGAAAGTTATGCATTTTTTTTTTATTTGTTGTGGTAAGAATAATCTTTACTCAAATTTCATCGGACTTGGGCATTCAATTTATTACGAACCCATACGCATGCAACAATATACACCAAAGAGCCATTACATTATGACGACCCTCCATCTATAAAAATGGGCTCTTCCAGGAACAAAACCATTGCACATGCATGGCTGGAGTATATAAAGTGGCTATGCATTGTCTTTCCAAATATAGCGCAATTAGCAACATAATGGAAAAAGCAGCTAATTTATCAAACTTTGATAAAGGTCAAATCGTTATGGCTCGGCGACAAGGAACATTAACATCAGAAACGGCGCTTTTAGTGGACTGTTCATGTGCAGTTGCTGTGAGCACATATTGAAAGCAGTGAATAGATGGTGAAATGACAAGGGGATGGCCTGCACTGTGTTGTTGACAGCGCATTAAATCCAGAGGAGTGTGGAGATCGCTAAGCATTGTTCACCATGACCGAAAAACTACAACAATGGTAACCCAGACAGTGTTTCTCAATAAACTGTGCAGCATACCTTGCTGCGTATGGCTCTATGCAGCCGGAGACCAAAGCATGTCCCTGTACTGTAGACTGTAGACCAAAGCATGTCCCATGGCACATCATGGCCAATTAATTGCACGTTGCATCTGTAACTGGCCAGATACAAATGGCCAAGAAGCATCGGAATTGGACCAAAATTGGATCGGAATTGGAGACCAAAGCATGTCCCTGTACTGATGGCACATCATGGCCATTTAATTGCACGTTGCATCTGTAACTGGCCAGATACAAATGGCCAAGAAACATCAGAATTGGACAATAGAAGAATAGAGGAAAGTTGCATGGTCCGACGAATTATGTTTTCCGATTCGTCACATCGACAGGTGTGTGCTAATAAGCTGATTTCCTAATGAAACCCTGGCTACCGGATGCACAGAGACAAGCTGGTGGCGGGTGTATTATTGTGAGGGCAAATCTTTTCATGGAGGACATTAGGACCCATAATCCTCATAGAACAATCCCTGATGCCTGTGTTCTACATGAAACACTGTTGCAGACCAGGTTCATGAATAACAGTATTTTCGGCAGGGGATGGTGTTTACCAACAGCATAATGTGCCATGTCATAAGTGTCGAACCATCAGGGAGTGTTTCAAGAAACATTTCATTGACTTTTAAGTCATGTCTTGGCCTAAAAATTCACCTGACATTAATTCAATAGAGGATTTGTGATCCCATCTGGAAAACTGAATTTGTACTGCCACACTAAACCCCCCCCCACAATGTGCAGGAAATGCAGGACCAGTTGGTGAGCACTTGGTACCAGATACCTCAGACCATGTATCAGCACCTTATGGAGTCAATGCCACACCAGGTGCTGGCAATTTTGAGGGCTAAAGGTGGTCCTACACGTTATTAACAGGGTGATCATAATGTAATGGCCCTTCGATGTATATGGGTGATGATATATCAATTTGTGAATAATCTTTATTCAAGACAATTTAAATTAAAATACAAATCTCTATTTTTCACACACCATTATAATAATAAACAGAATTATAATAGTAAAATTAATTAATAGCATAATAACAAAAATTAAAAACTTCCACAGGCAACATTTCATACTTAATTTTTCACATTCCCATCAAAGTTACATAAATCACACTCATATGCGAATTCACTTATCTGGCCACTTATTTAATTACATGAATACACAAAAATATTTGTAACTACAAATAACATAATTATTCTAATTAACATAATTATTCTAATAAGAAATAACATAATTATTCTAATGAAAAATTTATCATTATAATTAGTTATACAAGTACCATTAATCATAATGCCTACATTAAATAAAAATAAAGATTGTTGTTTTATTAATTTTGACTGTAGATAAAATTATCCATGAAAAACTGATAACTAAACTTGAGCTGTCATATAATTTAATTTATTCAATATAAGCTCCATGGCAGTTTTACTTTATAACGTATTTGATTCTTTCTAAAAATTCATCTTAGAAACAGGAAACAGTCAAATTTAAAAATTTTGAAATATAAGCCAAAAATAAAAGCCATCACAGACTAATCCATGTTGCCATGTTTGTAATGCCATGATGTAATAAAAGCCATGTTTGAATTTAGCAAAGGAAAAACCTTCAAGAAACATCAAAATGTGTCAAGAAGGACAAAAAGTTTTTCAATGCAGACGAATCTATTACATACAAATAATGTATAACAAATCAAAAGAATCAAATGTTCAAAACAATAATATTTATTCACATACTGAAAAAAGGAATGCTAATACTCATACAAGCATTTGCACACGTTGTGTCGAACTGTGAAACATTTTTTAAGTCATCCATTTACTTTTATCAGTGTTTCATACTTCTGCTGACAAATTTTAAAATTCCAAGCAAATTTTAAAAGTCTTATTGCATTACTAAAATTCACTTCTTTGAGTTAATTTAGGATTATGCAAGTGACTAATAAAAACATCAGTCTCAGAATTTTGTCTCAATTTGTAACTTAATATGTTTATTACAAATTTGTTTAAATAATTTTATCGACTTTTCATCCACCTTTATGAAATAGATTGAAAGATTTTTAAGTTATATTTTTGGTTAAAATTACATTCATATGTTAGTGTTTTTACATTCATACATATATTATACTTTGCAAAAAAAAAAAATTAGTAATGAAAATATAAGTATGAAACTTCTAACCAATACAGAATTTTCCTACTTGTGTGAACTTTTATGGATGGAAATATAATTTCACAACTGTAATTACCATAATAACCAGCATTTCGACTGCTATAATTTACTATATGTAATAAATCCACAAATCATATATATAGTGAGTAGCAAAATCATGAATATTTCAAAAAAATATTGGCAGAGAAAACTTTTCTTAATTGTATGTGCAAATACAAAATTCATAAACAAAAGCAATTTTAATGTGTCTGTTTATTATACACAATATTTCATGTCAACATATAAAATAAAATGCAATATGATGAAATATGTCACCAAATACAGAGTTCACAATACATACAATATGACTTCATATGATATCTAAAGTGTCAAATTTATAATTTTTACATGTTTTATTTTTAATCAGCAAGTTCGAGCCTTTGAAATTTATCGACATCGTAGAAACCAGCTTTTACAACTCTTCCTCCAAAATAACGCCCATTTAAGTCCACAACAGCTAAAAAGGAAAAAAACGAAAAACAAAAATTGTACTACACAAAATTTAATACATATATTTTATACTAAATGTTAGCAGCAAAAATAAATATATAATTATATTCCACTTTACAAAAATATATTAAATAATTCCAGACACATTAACGGAACTTTCAAGGTCATGAAGATATTTTCATGCAGCTTCAAAAGAGTATATACATATAACATGTCTATAAGAGCTACCTTACTTCCAATTGCAAAAATGTTTTAAATCGCACAAAAAAAATTTAAAAGTGCCCATTTTTTCCAATTTTCAAAATAACCCAAATTGAAATAGCACATGAATTTAAACAAAATTTATTTCTATTTGAGCACTGACAGAATATTTTATTATTAGTGTTTTAATTTTAACCATGTGCTGACATTAACATGGTATACTATAGCATTTCTGTCACATATTGCTTATACCTATATTTAGCCAGCCATTATAGAATAGTTTTTATACTACATATGTTGGTTAACATTACCTAAAATTTCATAATATTTCAATATTTAACTGCATTTAAAATTTAAAAATTTATCAATATTACCAGCTTTTCAGACTTATATGTCCTTTCAATGAGAATATTTTTCTAATATTTTAATTATACTGCAAATCGTGAGAATAAGATTACAATACCTTTTATAGCTGACTCAAGACGCTTGAACTCGATAAATATCCTTACAGACTCTTCTTCAGGAACATTCCCACCAGGGATTTCAAAAATTATGCATTTAACAACTTCACCATATTTACTACATTCTTCTTTGGTTTCAGGCTCTAAATCTTCATCAACTTCACCAGGGCCAACCATGTTCTTTAGGGCATAAGAAACAATACATTTAGATCAGGCAACACAGCAATACATTCAAGCAACAGAAAACAGAACTTTAATTTTATAAATAAAATAATTTTATAAATAACTGTTTGGTCAGCACAAATTATATTGCACATTATTTTCAAATAATAAAGATTTATTCATCATAACACATCAGCAAAAGCAATATGTCCTATGAATCCATATATAAACAAATTCCAGATAGTTATTTGAAAAAGTTTCATATTTTCTACCTGTTAACTAGGTAAAAAATTTCAGATTTTTATATTATAACCTCAAATATTATTTATTTTATATTATTAACTCATATGTAAGGTACATAAAATTAATAAAAGATTTTTTTTAAAAAAATAAATACTTTCAGATTTTATATTACGTCCAAAGGTCCACCTTGCACAAAAAAAAAGGACAATTCTATATTTCCCATTCTACTGAACCAACTGTCGAAATTTAACTTGCATTTTCCCTGTCTCAAAAGTGCAACTTCGAATATATATTAGATTTGTATATATCATTGTTCTAACATAAGTATTTTGACACAAAATTAGACTTTTTCTGAAATAACCCACCCATTTTTCCCATTTGATTCTATGACTCATTATGCCTAAATATTAAATTTTGTAATTTTTGGTGAGATACTTATGAGGAAATTTAAAAATTTACCTTTGCGCATTTTTTTTTTCACCTTGCACCAAGAATTATTCACTTGGCGAACTTCTTAATTTACAGCAACCTATTTACCTTTCCTTTTTTTCATTGTATTACGAGCAGAGAAAACGTTATTGTTCATTCTTTCAAATAATTTTAAACAAAGTGCATAAATCACATTTAGCGTTATTATCACTTATAACAAATATGCCAAATTTCAAAATGTGCCAATTCACATATATCTCAGAGAATTTTGAATAAAAAATTCCAACTTTTTACAGGTATGCTTAGAAATACATCTATTTTAAGATGATGGTAAAAATTTTATAGGTTATAATTCACATTTTTTTGAAAAATTTATACAAATTATATTAAAATATGAATTTAAAAAAATTATAAAAAATGGGAGAATTTTACTTGGAATGAACCTAAATTTTGGAATGTGAAAGGAAGACTCAAATATGTTTAACAAAAAAAAAAGAGATAAGTATATACCAAATTCAATTAACATGGCGGAGCTAAAATTTTGCGAACTAACTTTTTAATAACTACTTGTGTGATTTTTACAAAACTTGGTGTTTTGGCATAATTCCATTTGTAGAATCGATATAAGAAAAAAAAAATGGTATGTTATTTCATAAAAAGTTCAATTTTGTGTCAGGCATATTTTTTACAGCATATTTTTTTAGAATTTCCAATAGATAGTCTTGTCTATTTTACAATAGTCTAAAGATGAAAATATTTTATTCCGTACAATACGTTGCCACTGCTCGCTTTGAAATCGTTTAGTTTCGTAATTGAAAATCATTTAAGCTTAAAAAATAAGAAAGATATAATAAAACAAATTCAAAATTCAAGATTCAGGCTTTCAGGTACCTATATTTGGGTGGAGGAATATGTTATTTAAAGTTTGATGTCTCTAAGTATAGTTTCTTCCACAATGCAAGAAACATACATATATTCATGCAGATTCTTCAATGTTTAATTTCTTTAAATATAGTACAGGGCGATAATATTTGGTGGCAACAGTTTGAAAAGTGATACAGCCGTTTATAGTAATTTGATGCAAAATGCTGTTTTGAGACCAATAGCCCTTCTGGACTAATGCCCCTTTGGACTAATAATTTACAATTAAAGGAAAAACTACGTGGAAATAATGAAAAATATAAACATCTAAACATTTCTCCAATTATTAAAGAAATTTTCAAAACTATATTGTTGTTGTCTTGCTTAGAAAGCAAGGAAGGTCTTATAATATTATGCTAGATTTATTATCCATATTAAATATTTTGATAATGTGCATTATTACTTTTGTCGGTTTTGTCACTGATGAAGGAAAAAATTTCACTAAGTTTAGATGTCACACCAAAGGAAAACAACAACAAAAAATCAACAAACAAACAAAAAACTTTAATAGAATTTTACTTTATTTCCAAAGTTATAAATTCTTACTGAGATGAATTTTTTCAATGACTTTTTAGATGGCCACAAAGCTTGTCTGATTAGCAGTATGTAAATCTTACCACTGTCAGGAATGTGATTTTTGAAGCAATAAAGCAGTTGCTGACATGATGGAATTTTTTTTGGGGGGGGAGAATTTTTCACAATGCATCTCCATATGGCTTTTATACTTTTATCTGATACTCATTTTTGCAAATCTGGATGAAAAGCAAAATATCCTTTTCTTGGAAAGTTGCAATAGTTTCACTTTAGTGGTGAAAATTATACTCATTTTGAATCCTGGGAGAGTACAATTTCTCACCAAAACAAAAATATTTTACAAATTTTATTACTTGATTCTGGTTATGGTTTTGTTTTTACTTCAATTAAATGCCTTCAAACTTGGCAATCATTCACTGATCATTGATAAAAACAACAAATACTCTGTTACATAATGTTACTATACTGCTGTACTATAATTGTTAGGCATTTCTCTATACTACAAAATGGTAATGCTACCTATGAGAATACAGGTTTTCTATAATGCAGCATTGCTTAGGTAGCAGCAAATGAATTTTTTTAATGATAAAAAGGTGGTCAATGCATAAGAAATTTTGAGAATCCCCCCCTTTTTTTAAACGAGTTCAAGTCACCCTGGTTAGGCAAATGTTAGCAGAGGCCTGGAAAGAGGGCATGCAAGATTCGTCAAAGTTTAAAAATATTCAAAAGTCTTAAAGTTCTCTTCAGAAACTGGCAGTAGAAGAAAAGATAGGAGATTCTCCAGACCAAAACTTGAATACAGTTTGGCAAATTTATGTCATTACCATTCATGCTGTTCAGGTCTATGGCAAGAACACATTTTAATTTCCTCATGATTATTATTATGAACTCATCCATAATCTGCACACATGATTAGCAATATAAGTTCAACTTTAAACATATAACACAAGAATTTTACCACAGAAAAGATAGTTAACAGTCTAATATTTATAGTCCTGATCAAACAGACTAAATAATCCCATTTTTAAATAAGAGGTAGATGAGTTACCCGTAATAAGACAACTTTTGAAGGAGATTTCATTATTTCTGTGATGGAATCTACTTGTGAATTGGATGCAGGAGAATTTGCGGCTGGCTGAGGTGGTGGAGGTGGCTGAAATTGAGGCGGTGATGGAGGTTGAGCTTCAGTAACTGAAATACAAAAACCAAGAAATTATACTTACATGCAAATCAAATTAATTATATCATAGAGAAACCAAATAAAAAAGCATTAACTAAAATGACCAAAATTTTTTCATGAAATTAAATTTTCAGCATTTAAATAATAAATCAATTTTAATTAATGGCTCAATTGGCTTATGACTTCCAATTCAAAGAGATTATGTAAAGTTAAAACAACTGAAATAAATACATAAAAATTTTAAATCAGCCCCCCCACGGAAAAAAAAGACACTAACTTAGATTGGTGTATATATTGAACAGAGCTCAGTTACAATTCGGATTTTTTTTTTAATTTATGCAAATTAAACATCTCTTTTGCCTAATTTTAAATTTATATTGCCATATTACTCTTCCAAATAAATATATAAAATTTTATAAATCTTTCCTTTTTTACCCTAAATGGCAAAACATTAATTATATAAAACCTCTATAAATTAATTCTTTACTTCTATACAAATAAATTCTATAGAAAGCATATTCAGTATTTTACCCTCTATGGAATTACGAGTAATTTAAAACACAATTTTGAAATAGATACATAAGTATAAAATTTGATGACACATTAAAATTAAATTATCACAAATTAGATTTACATTGCTTTTACAATATTCTGATTAATTTTATTTTTAGCATGGCAATTCAAGTACTATTATAATATAGCAAATTTTAATGCACACGCTTACACTTTGGAAGATCTTTTTCATGTATAATTTTGCCTCCTCTTTTACTTGTCTTTTCAACTTGTAAGGCTTGGCTCATGCCCTGTTCTTTTTTCCCTAAGCCTTGGCCCTCTTTAAAACCATACTTAGCCATAATTCTAGCAGCAACAGAACTTCTACAATTAAAAATAACAATACATTACAACATTCATATTACACACATAAAACGTCAAATTGTACTATTTTTGTCAGCCCAGAATGAAACCAAATATATAATGAACTAAATTAAACAAATCCTATAAAAATATGTTATTTAAAATAGCAAAGGATATTACTCTTAGTAAAGTCCTAGAATTGTATTATAATGCTGAATATACATTATAAAATATTTATAAATTATTTTAATGACAGTTATTAGTATGTGTTTAGATCAGTTGGAATTCATATATTTTAAATAGCTGTGACACTATTTGGACTGTCCATTTTCTACGACAAATACTTGTCAATATTTATGTTATCAAACAGTCATTCTACTAGAAGAGCAATAAAAAAGAATGCAATATATATACAAACATATCAGCCTATTAAATTCTTCGCTCTGAAAATAAAAATCATATCTAAAATTTTTAAAACTAATTTCAAGAATGAACTCCAAAATTATGCAATGCATTAATAAACTAGAAAACTTTACACTCCGTACTTACTATGGTCAATTGTAGCATAAATTTTGCATATATGTGTCATCAGTTTATACTTACTAATTTCACTGTTTATTATCATTACTTCATTGCCTTTTTATTTGCTATATTACTAATATTCAGTATTATTTGAATACTTATTGCTACTAATCATAAGAAAGTTATTAGCTTACTTGTTATCAGCTTACCTGTTATAGCTTACTTGTTTTAATATATATTATCTTACACTGCACTACAGTATACTTAGTTTATCACCCCTTTGTAATTGTTACAGTTTAAGAATTATTACCTTTGTAAAATAATATTAATATGCACTGTGAATTTTACAATATTGTACATGTGATTTCATTACTGTTTCATTATATTTTTATACAGTGGCCGTTATTGCTGTTACAAAATTCTTATGATTATTATCAGTCATGATAACGTTTTCTCCTGTATGCTCTTAGAATAATTTAAAACTTTTTGTTTAATCTTATACAGTCATTAGGTTTATTTTGAAGGAGGAATTGGGGAAAACGAGCAATGCCCTTGACAGGATTCAAACTCTGGACTTTACCTTTGCTAGACAGATGTGTTTCCAATTAAACCATGAAATGAAATGGTAAGAAGGCATAAAAGTCCATAGAATTTCATTACATAATGTAATATAGTGTTATGTATTATGAATAGTGTTACGAATTTGGTATTATGTTAAAAAAAAAAAAAACTTATGTTAGTTCAATTATAAATTAAATGGTTTTATTTCTCGCGCAGTGCAGCACGTGACGAATATTAAAAGAAAGCTAAGCCGGAAAATTGAAAATACAAGAGCGCGTGCATTAAATAAATAAATATGTCTTTTTGATTTCGAGAAAGTACCAGAAAATTCTAGCGCATGATTTTAAAATCTTATAAAAGGAGGAAAACATCTCAGTTCGTGGTAGTTGCTTAGTTTGTTGTTGTTTAGAAAACTGCTCTTGTTGATTGTAGCGAATTCGCGGATTAGCTTTCTTTAGCTGTTTTGAATTAAGTTCTTTTGAACGTTTGAGTAGTTAAAAGATAACTACTGTGATATATTGTGATACTGCACGATTATTTGAGGACATTTAATCATATTTGTTGTTATAATAAAATTTTTTTTTCATTTTTTCATCGGACTTGTGCATTCATTTCGTAACAAACCCGTACGCAAGCAACAATTTTTTTTTGTCAGAAGTAGGATTTGAATGCCAATAACAAGAGCGATGGAGGAGCAATTGAGGTAGCTCATCAGTGCTTTTGCTGCATTTAAAGAAGAAATGAAAGAAAAGATGGATGTTGGTCAGAAAAAGATGGAAGAATCCATTAAAAAGGAAATGGAATCCGTTAAAAAGGAAATGGAAGTCGTTCACGAAAAGTTGGAAGCTGGTCAAGTAACTTTTAAGGAAGATATAAAAGCTGTACATGAAAAGATTGAAGCAGGTCAAGACGAAATGAAAAGAGAAATAACCTGCGTAATAGAAAGTAAATTTGAGGCTATGGAAGACAGAATAGGAGCTGTCGAAAATAAAGTCGGGCAAATTGAAGAAAAGGTTTCTTCTGTCAAAGATGAAATAGAAGATAGAGTGTCGGCTGTGGAGCAACGAGTCGAAGGAAGAGTTTCGGCCGTCCAACAACAAATTGAAGAGAGAGTTGCCAAAGAAATGGAAACTTTAAAAATATTCGCAGTCCGGTTCTCCGAGCGTGGGTTCGATTGCGTACGGGTTTGTTACGAAATAAATGCACAAATCCGATGAAAAACGAACAAAAAATTATTATTCTAACAACAAATATGATTAAATGTCCTCAAATAATCGTGCAGTATCACAATATATCACAGTAGTTACCTTTTAACTACTCAAACATTCAAAAGAGCTTAATTCAAAACAGCTAAAGAAAGCTAATCCGCGAATTCGCTACAATCAACAACAGCAGTTTTCTAAACAACAACAAACTAAGCAACTACCACGAACTGAGATGTTTTCCTCCTTTTATAAGATTTTAAAATCATGCGCTAGAATTTTCTGGTATTTTCTCGAAATCAAAAAGACATATTTATTTATTTAATGCACGCGCTCTTGTATTTTCAATTTTCCGGCTTAGCTTTCTTTTAATATTTGTCACTCGCTGCACTGTGCGAGAAATAAAACCATTTAATTTATCATTCAACTAACATAAGCTTTTTGAATACCAAATTCATAACAATACTATAACACCACCATGCTGTTATTTGTTAACTTTTAGTTTGTTAGGTATATATTAGCGCTGTTAAAAATTGTTTCATAGTTCATTATATGCCATATTTTGTTTCTGGTAAGATTGTTATGATCGATATGCAATTTGTAACAGCAATTTATTAATTTTTTTTATTTGATACACATTAGTTAGTTTATTTTTTACAGTATTTCACAGAATTATTTTTGTATAATTGAGCCAGTATCTTAAGGAATACTATTCTTGGTAAAAAAGACATCAAAGTAATCTTGTTGGTCCCCATGGGACCATCTAAAGTAACTACTAAAGAGTAGATGATGTAATATCTGTTGATTTAAGCTTTCTTTTGAAGCTGTTATAGCACTGAAATGGCATGTTATACTATTAAGGAGCAAATAATATTTTTAAAAAATTAATGTGATCAACACATCCAAAATATAAAAAAGACAACATTAAATACCCAGTGGCAAAAGGAGTGGTTGGAATAGGCACTGATTCCTTTTTCTCTGTGGATTCCAATAAAGAAGGTGGCGGGGCTATAGCAGCACCAGAATTTGGAACTAAATTTTTAAAAAATTCAAATTTCAAAGTTAATATGAAAAGTAAAAACATAAAAAATATCACTGGTTATGAATATACATATATCATTCTAATTCAGATACATTTTAAAAGCACAATACTAATAAATGATTTTTAATGAATGGAACCTGCAGTTCCTTTTCTCGTAAATAAGTGAAGGTTCAGTACACAAATTAAACAAAAAACATTAAACATAAATTTAAAAATGGCATAAAATACTCTGGGTGAACACCCTGGAACCACATTTAAACACAGATAAAAGCACAGAAGTTTTCATAGTTGATGGAGACACCATCATTCTACCAAGAAATTACGTGGTATTGTCTCGCATTCCCATATACCTAGCATTAAGATATATCAAATAACATTGTAAGATATTGTAGCCATTGTGGCTCAGTACATAATTACATAACTTACATGATTATTATATTATTTCATACATTCATATTATTTTAAAGCAGTACACATTACAAAGACAACACTGTCAGAAATTTGCAAATGTATATTGTGCAACATCCAAATACAGTAGTAACACAGAGACTTTTAGAAACAAACTAAATGAATATTTAATTCTTATTCTAGGCACTGTTCCTATTACCCCCCTCAAAAAAAAAGGTAAAATAAGTTTAAAAAAATAAAATTATATAACGAGGCATAGGTTCAAGTTTTGCAAGCTTGTCGATAATCTCGGCGATTTGTCCCATCAGATGTTCCACAAAGCTTCTGTATTGTTAGTAGGGATTTTAAGGTGGTGTCTTCTGGTAAGTGGGCAGATGGTAAGATGATAGTCTACGGTACCAATTTCTCCACAGACATACAGGTTAGTGTTACTGATGCTGTGTCTATTAAAATATTCAGAAAAGGATATGTGCAGTAATAAATCTTGTTAATGTTGAATGGGAAGTAATGTTGTGTTTGATGTTTACTTATAATGTTTACTTTATAATATTGATGTTTACTTTATAATGTAGTAGTACATGCAATGGCCTTGTTCACATTCATCCCACTCTGTTTGCCATTTGCTTTATGCCTTGCATTTCAGTTGCGTCTTCAAGTATGAGCATGGCCAAACTACTGGCTGGGGATAATGAATATTTCATGATGCTGCTTCCTTAGCTAATCTGTCAGTAATTTCATTTCCACTCACCCCACCATACACTTTCCCCCAGGAGAGCATGATGTTATGATGTTGATGCCTCTATTTCAGTCTCTGGATTTATGTAACTATAGGGTATGTGTGGTGATGGTTGCGAACTGACAGAAATACCCACATGCTGTCTGTAAGGATGGTAATGTGCAGTAGGTTTCACTGAGTGACATACTGGATAGCTCTGGAAATAGCTATCCTGCCTCAAACACAGTGTTATTATTGCTTAGTCACTGCTTCTATACACATAAGGTTTCTTGTCCATGTTGAAGAACTAGTAATCTGCCAACTTTTGTTTTTCATATGCAGGCCTTCCAGGTATACAGCCATAGTATTGTTTCTGGGGGTGTTATGAAGGTGAAAATATATGTTTAACCTTGCCTTTAAAATGCTGGGTAAACACATAGCATCATCGCTTGCATTACATAATTGTTTGGATAATGCCACTAATCAAAAAAGCTTAAGGGAGTGTGAAGATGAAATACTGATTAGATTACTTCTTGCTTAATACAAACATGCAATGGTGTTAGACCTGCCAGGACATTAATCGATGTATTTGCTGTTGTGAGAAATGCCCTTGTGATGTTTACTGCAAATAAGCATTGGATGCTGAGATGTTTTACTATTCTCTCTTGCATCGGCTGGACCCACACTTAAACAGCATATATAACCATTCTTTCTACGATAGTTGACTAGAGTCTTTTGAATGTGCAAATTTAGTCCCTGATTCCTTTTTTGGAATAGTCAGAGATTTTGCACAATACATCTAGTATGTTAATTCAGAAGACAAACAACAAAAATCAGCATTATATTTACAAAATTTTGTATATAATGCTGATTTTTGTTGTTTGTCTTCTGAATTAGTATTTATTCGGTGTGTTATTGTGTCTTAATCTAGTATGTTGCTTGTGTTCCTTAATATGGAGAATATAAGTCAGTCTTTAATCTCATGTATTTTAATTCTTTCATGGTTTTAATCCTGTTCTTGTTGATTACAATGTTGCTCAAGTCCCTTTTTGGGAATTATAAGGTCTTCTGATTTGCCTTCTGAGATGGTCAATTTCAAGGCACTGCAGAGAGTTCTGAGTTCCATGTATCTTCAGCTTGTTTCTGGATTTCTCCTGGACTATGAAGGCAACATCATCTGTATAAGCTATTACTTGTGTGTGCTCAGGATAGGTAGTAGTTAATTGAAGGTCAGATTCCATAAGACTAGACCAGCATATGATCCTTGTGCCTCTTTGCATTGTATGACGGCATTGTTACGCATGATGATCTGCTCATGGTTCAAGAGGTAACTTGTTAAGGCTTGATGTATGTTTTCAGGGTATCTTCCTTGTTTCAGTGAATGTTTAATAGCTGGCCACCACAATGTTTTCAAAGCACTCTTAAGATCAAGACTGAGGATGATTGAGTGGTAGTCATTGTGCATGATCTCCATGATGTAGTTTTTCATAATCATGAGTGTATGTGTGGTAGATTTCCCTTCTCTAAAGCTGTACTCAATGAATTGTATAATCAATGAACACCAGTACAGCTTTAGAGAAGGGAAATCTACCACACATACACTCATGATTATGAAAAACTACATTGCCTGAAGCATAACCACTAGGAAAAGTATATGAAAAAACACTTTTCCTAGCATTGAATGCAGGTACATTGGACAGGAGGAATCTGGGCTACTAGGACCTTTGTTGTATTTAAGGGAGAATATGACTTGCTCAACTTTGAAATCAGTGGGGAAGATGCCAGCCTGCAGAAGTTTGTTGAGAAAAATTAAGAAAACTTTTATAAATAATTTTGATTATTGCATAATTTATGTCATGTGGACCAGATGTTTTCTTTAAATTAAGGTTCTCGAAGATCTGCTGTATTTCTCCTTTTGTGAATTCTTTACCATGTGTAGTGCTGACTTCTATATTGTTTGAATTGTTACTTTGCTGTGGCTTCTGAAGGGCAGTCCACCGGGGAGACTGCAAACAGGATTACTGTTGAATGTTTTTATTATGTCATTTGTTGCATTATTGTCCATGTGGATTCTTGAAGATGGAACTGCAAGGCTTGTAGACTTTGTTGGTAGCAATTTTGTACAAAATGCCATATGAATCTCTATTTTAAGTGCAGAAGTCTCTCCAGCTTTGTATCTTAGCACTGATGATCATTCTTTTGCAGACTGCTCTTTCGTTTCTAAATTATTCTAAAGTAGTAGTTGGAATATTCAGTCGTCTCTGTTTTGAATTTATGATGTAGCGCTCTGTATTTATTTTGCTACATGCAGATATATCCTTGGTCCACCAACTAAGAGTGTATAGTTTCATTATTTATCTACTTGGGAGTATTTCCTCAAATGTATTGCATAATATACTAAACAGTTGTATTGTGAATACATGTAGGGCTTCACTCTTGTACTTACCTGTAGATCTGCTATTATTGTAGAAAGATTTTGTCAAATGAGTTTCCTGAAGATGTTAATTTTGCTACTTCTGAGGTTGTAGTGTAAGGATCTTAAGTTTTACTAACGTTTATTTTATTTTAAATCTTTACTATCACTTCTTATTTTCTACTTCCGGCCAGAATTATAAGCGTTAATGTTTTTATGCAAAGTTTGTCTGGCGAACGCCAAGTATTTAAGTTGTGGCTTTTTGCCAAGCGAGAGGGAGGAAGCAGTTAGTCGAAGCAGGCCGCTTACCTTAGAAGTTTTCGCCAGTTGCTGGTTGCCTTCCAGGCTAGAGGTTTTAATCCTCTTTATAAATTTTAAACGTATTGTAGTGTTCACAGTTATCTGTACTACATACGGCTTCCTGTTAATATAAGGCCAATCTTCCACGTTTATTATTTTAAAGTTAAATTAGAGTTTAGTTCTATTTTTATTTTTACGTTAGACCCAAGTAGCGGGTCTGTTGTATTCCGAAGTACGGAAGTTATTGTAAATAGAGAAAAATAAAGGGTTTTGTATACCCTTCTTGTGTATCCTGTCTACTTCCCACAATTGCTGAACATACCTTTAGTAAGCTCTCTGTTCCGAGTCAGGTCCTTGCATGTTCCCGAAGAAGGTTAGACGGAACATTGAACCTGATAGTGGCGCCCAACGAAGAAGAATAACCATGGCCGAGTTTCAAGAAGAACCTGTGCTGCCTGCAAGCGGCTCAGAATCCAGAAATGCCAGCTGCCGCCCTGGAAGGATTTGGTTACATCGTCCAGACCATGCGCGCTTCGATGAAACCAGAAGCAACATTTAATGGAAATTCACCGGTAACCAGTTTTTTGAAAAAATTGGATGACCACTTCATGCTCTACCCCGTGCACGAATTTCAAAAAGTTACCTTAGCTACCAGCGCTTTGAGAGGCCAAGCGCTTAACTGGTTCAAATGTATAGGCAGAAGTCTCTTGGGTCAAGCAGGAAGTCCCACCTATACTTACGAGAATTTCACGACTGCCCTAGTAAAAGCCTTCCCTGTCGTAAGGGATCGTGCGAAATTAGAAACGGAACTTTTTAGTATATATCAACAAAGAATCGAAAATGTCTCAAGCTTTATTTTAAGAAAAATTCACGTCTTCAAACTCTTGTATGGAAACCGTCCGGATCCTGAGATAATTCAAGTGATTTTGCCGAGGTTACTGCCCCAAGTGCAAGACTTTATTGAATTAAGAAATCCGACTACACTGGAAAAGTTATTTCAGCTAGCAATCCAGTTTGAAAGTAGAAGAACGGCGGACGTCGAAAGAAGACGCCAATATCAACAGCGAAACCAATTTGGTGTGCCAAGACTACAGCAAACTCAAGCACACGGCTACGGAAGCAAAGCGAACAGCCGGGGAACGTCGACAGTTCAATAGCAATCCAGAAAAAAAGTCTCAAGGCCAGGGGAAAAAGAAGGAAAGCACGGAAATGAAAAATAAG